TAAAACACCAAACTGAAACATTTTACAAGGAATCATGTCTGCATTAACCACAATACTTGTGGTCAGAATGCAAACAAAAAAACATACTCTGATAATAACTGCATTGTCTTCGAAACTGACTAGTTCATACCAGAGACAGCTTTATTTTGAGCCTAGTCTCAATGGTTTAAAGCTTTCGTGACTGCAATGATTCATCTTCTTTGGTTCTTTCGGTAAAGTCACGTAGAATGAGAATAAAATAATAAATTGATAAAATAAAATAACACAATTAAATTCTCACGACGTTTCGGTCACAACACAAGCGGCCTTCATCAGGTGAAGGGACGAGACTGTCTGGAGGACAGCGCTGGAGCGAACACAGCCAAGCTCAGACCGCGACCTTTAAGCTGTGTGAGAAGAACAGAGCGCCTTGACAAAGGAATTAGCATAGAATTTAGCATTGAAATAGCTGAGTGATTAGCTTGTGACTGGTCACAGAAATGGCTATGTTAAAATCAAAGCCTACACATCCACAGAGGCACCTAGTACAAATCAAACAGGAGAATTTAGCATTGAAATAGCTGAGTGGTTAGCTTGTGACTGGTCACAGAAATGGCTATGTTAAAGTCAAAGCCATCCACAGAGGCACCTATTACAAATCAAACGGGAAAATTTAGCATTGAAATAACTGAGGGATTAGCTATGTCGACCAAATGTAGGGACAATTTGATTTCCAAATTCAATCACCTCTCCAACAAAAAATCGGATCCACACACCGAAAAGATAGACGTCAACAAAGTCGTAATTAATCGCAGTAACAGTTCCATTTCTGATGGTCTGAAATCCGTTTTAGATAAAGGTCTAAACTTTGCTGTCACACCGAGACACATACCGGTTAATGATATAATTGCCCATGTCGACATTGCACTGAAGGGCTTGAGTCACATCTCTGCAGACGTAGCAAGATCTGAAATCGCTGCAACCCTCAAAAACGCTAAGTTGCCACCTAGCAACATCAGCAAAGATGAACGCTTTGAATTATCTCAATTAAAAAAGAGAGATGATATTGTCGTCCTCTCAGCCGACAAGGGCAATGCCACTGTCATCATGGACAAAACAGAATATGACAACAAAATTCAAGAACTACTCAATGATGGCAGCTATACAAAAATAAAAAGAGATCCCACCAACAGCCTGGTTACCAAAACGAACAAAATAATATCTGATTCAACAGCATTAATTGATCAGACCAAACAGTTCTCGTTGAAACCCTCTGCTGCCAGACCACCAAGATTATATGGCCTTCCAAAGATACACAAAGAAGATACACCCCTTCGTCCCATCGTCTCTACTATCAACTCCCCCACCTATAAACTGGCACGTTTTCTTGCTGATATACTGCGACCTTTCACTGGAAAAAACACCTCTGCGGTACTAAATTCTACTCACCTGGTATCGACAATCAAAGGCATTTCCCTGTCCCCAGACGACCTGCTTGTCAGTTTTGATGTGGTGTCCTTGTTCACCAAAGTCCCGGTACCTGACACCATCGCTATCATTGAAGACCTGGTTCATCAAGTACTGCATACTGATGTACCCCCCCTGGTGAGACATTGCTTAACCAACACATACTTCACCTGGAATGGAACTTTCTACAAACAAACTGAGGGCACCCCAATGGGCTCCCCCCTATCTCCCGGTTGTAGCCAACGTATTCATGGAAAAATTTGAAACTGACGCCATCCAGACTGCCACTCTACGCCCGACCTTATGGAAGAGGTACGTGGATGACACTTTTGTCATCTGGCCACATGGCCAGCCTGCTCTAGACCAATTCCGCGACCACATCAATTCCATACACCCAGCCATCAGATTTACCATGGAGGTCGAAAAAGATGGCAAACTACCCTTTTTGGATGTCTTAATTAAAAAGAGACATGATGGTTCAATGAGCCACTCTGTCTACAGGAAAGCTACCCATACAGATGTTTACTTGAAACCGGATTCCCACTACCATCCATCCCAGAAGAACTCCCTCATCAAGACTCTATACCATAGAGCCCAATGCATTTCCGACCAGGAACACATTACCAGTGAACTCAAGCACGTACACCAGGCTCTCAGGGCTAATGGTTACTCCGACTACACAATCCGCAAAGTCATCACTCCAGTCATGAAGAAGGATCCTCTTGTGGAGCCACTCAAAACCATCACCTTACCCTACATTGCAGGGGTTACTAAAAAGATCTCCAAAATCCTGAATAAACACAAGATCCAGGTCCGATTCAACACAGTACATAAAATCCGTGATCGGGTTCCATCTGTAAAAGATGCTGTTCCAGACATACAGTACCCGGGCGTTTACAAACTAAAGTGCCTCTGTGGTAGTAGCTACATTGGAGAAACCAAACGACATATCTCGGACCGCATCCACGAACATAAAGCAGACTTGAAACACGGTAGAACGAACTCCTCTGCCGTGGCAGATCACTGTTATAATTCAGTGGGCTCACATGACATTGACTTCTCCAAGACGGAGGTTCTTTGCAAACCAACCGGCTACCATGAGAGATTCGTTCATGAGGCCATTCACATATACAAGCACAGAGACAATTTCAACCGAGAAGATGGATTCTGGCGTAGTAACCATTGGAAAGATGTTTTAAACCATTTCGGTTCTTAATTAATTGTATTTTACGATGACCTTCAGACCGCAGCTCTTTCGCTGGCATTGACTCTTAATACCTCTCACACCACGGTTAATGGTATGGTTTACAACATGGAGAAAACAGCGCCTCGCAGCTGTCTCTCTCCCCCTCCTCCGTTCCGACCATGGATGAACTCGTCCGTCTGAACGGGGCTCGTAGCTATCCGTGGTGCTAAACTTGAGGGTAAGAATCCACCCATTTTTTCGCCATATAGCATTGTGATATATAAGGACTAATTGTTGGTAGCTTAGCTGATTGGAGAATATATAGAGTTTATTGATAACATTGAGGTAACTTATATTTTAGTTTTTTATTGGTTTACTATATAGCATTCATTATATAGTGTAGTGTATACCCAGTTACTGTTAATAGCTCAGCTTATTGAAGAATATATTGAGTACATTATTATATTGATGTAATTTAGACTTAGGTTTTTTTCACATCGGTTTACTATATGATTATCGAGTTGTTGCAGCCCCTTTGGCGTCCATGTACTAGGTGCCTCTGTAGATGTGTAGGCTTTGACTTTAACATAGCTATTTCTATGAAAAGTCACAAGCTAATCCCTCAGTTATTTCAATGCTAAATTCTCCTGTTTGATTTATACTAGGTGCCTCTGTGGATGTGTAGGCTTTGACTTTAACATAGCCATTTCTGTGACCAGTCACAAGCTAATCACTCAGCTATTTCAATGCTAAATTATCCTGTTTGATTTGTACTAGGTGCCTCTGTAGATGTGTAGGCTTTGACTTTAACATAACTATTTCTATGACCAGTCACAAGCTAATCCCTCAGTTATTTCAATGCTAAATTATCCTGTTTTATTTGTACTAGGTGCCTCTGTGGATGTGTAGGCTTTGACTTTAACATAGCCATTTCTGTGACCAGTCACAAGCTAATCACTCAGCTATTTCAATGCTAAATTCTCCTGTTTGATTTGTACTAGGTGCCTCTGTGGATGTGTAGGCTTTGACTTTAACATAACTACTTCTATGACCAGTCACAAGCTAATCCCTCAGTTATTTCAATGCTAAATTCTCCTGTTTGATTTGTACTAGGTGCCTCTGTGGATGTGTAGGCTTTGACTTTAACATAGCCATTTCTGTGACCAGTCACAAGCTAATCACTCAGCTATTTCAATGCTAAATTCTATGCTAATTCCTTTGTCAAGGCGCTCTGTTTCTTCTCACACAGCTTAAAGGTCGCGGTCTGAGCTTGGCTGTGTTCGCTCCAGCGCTGTCCTCCAGACAGTCTCGTCCCTTCACCTGATGAAGGCCGCTTGTGTTGTGGCCAAAACGTCGTGATAATTTAATTGTGTTATTTTATTTTATCAATTTATTATTTTATTCTCATTCTATGTGACTTTACCGAAAGAACCAAAGAAGGTAGTCTCAATGGTGTTAGACCAGAGGATGCCAAAAGGCATACAGCACAAAGACAAGCACTATCAGAGTAATGAGAGCTCGGGTTGAGCAGCTCTATCAGAGTAATGAGAGCTCGGGGTGAACAGGTCACCCTATTCTCATAAGCATTATTGTTTACCAAAAATTGTAAGTAAATAAAAAATACTCAATATGTGTATTGTGAGCCACCCATTTCTTTGTCTGTTACTCAGCATGTTTAAAGTATGAAGAAGGACATACATGTTCCTCTTAGGTACCACATGGCATGTGCTTTTAAACTCGTGTGCTGTTATTCCATTTATCATTTACACTGCATTTTCGTGAACTATGTATCTGATTCAAGCTTTATCCATCGATTATATGCCACAGTATGCTTCCTTTATGAGCCTACCAGCTGGGTTTAGGAAGTGCAGAGTGGGAATACACTTTAAGAAAATGCATGCTAGTCAATGGATTGCAAGTAATGAATATTCTCATACTTGCAGGGAGAACATCTTAAACTGCACTGGAACTACCTTGAAATGTTCACACAATATCTAAGCTGAACATTACAGAGGTATGAGACCAAAAAATTGTATGTGTGACAACTCTACAGCCATGATGTGAAACATACACTAATCTGGTCAGGAATGTGAACAATCACTGAGTTTAGTTACCATTTTTTTCACCAATTTTATTTTACTAATCCGATTCCAATAACATTTTGAGTGCCATTGCGCAGAAACCACGTTTAACAAACTACCATCACATCAGCTCACAACCGTTAAAAAGTAGACTGGGTGAAAAAGTATCATTCACTCCGAGAAAAATGCGTGTAATTCCTGACACAAGCAACCTGGGAACGTCAGGTCTTGTGTATGTTTTGTGTAAAAACGCTGAGGATTCAAACCTGCCAGCGATGGACACTCACTTGGCATGGTCCGGTGTAGGCCAGGGAACGCCCTCGTACGTAGAGGGCACACAGGGACGGGTGCTCCGTGTTGGTGGTGTCGCAGGCAGGCTCCTGGGGTTGCCCCTCACAGGCCGGTTGCCGGGAGAGACACTCAAACTGCTCGCAGCTGAACTGCTCTAGTGAGCTCAGGCACACCCTGCGTGTGGGCACGCACCTACAGCGCAAACGTCATACCGGAGAATCGAAAGGGGACTGATAAAGAAAAGCACCAAGCGCCGCGGTGCAACAATTGACACCAGGATTGGTAGAACCTGGTCGACTCAGTCCACCATACTGTGTTCAGCCACAAAACTTCTGGTGAAACCACCCCTCTGCGTATTCCTCACACTGCTCAACCTTGGAAAATTCCCTCCAATCATCTCTAGTCCAAATCTTATAGCCGTGTTCAATTCAATAAACGTGTAGTGGCATAGCACTGGCTGCTGGCAGGAAATGGGATCTGCGGCGTACGGCAGCCCTGACGTCAGCAGGCCAGGATAGATACGAGAGGGGGATCTAGGGGAAAGGTCAGAGAAGGGGCACACCAGGAACCCGCTGGTAGGTTCCAGAAAGGGGGCGTGGCCGGGGTGGAGCGAGGCCACGCTGACAGTATAAGAGGGGCCCCTGTAGGGGACCTGGGGGCTGTTGTTGGAGTGGGATCCCCATCGTGCTGCTGAAGCCTTCGTCACCGTTCTTCTCGTCGTCATCTCCATCTTCACCATCTCGGGGCGCCGCTAGTCAGGCAGCCTGCCAACTGTCCTGGCTGAGTAGCGTTGCCGACAATAGACGGACTAATTATTAAGAGTGTTAACCCCAATGGTGCTTGTTAATAAAAAAGTGCCTCCAAGTCTTATCGTCTCCGAGTTTGTTGGCGGTGGCCGCATGGCGATATTGGGCCTTTGGACCCTTGTGCTTAGCAACTACCAGAGATAGATAGATAAATAAACAACAAACTTCTCACCGCTGGCCGGATGGGCAGGGGCTGGGGCTGCAGGGGTCGCGGGTAGCACACGTGCCATACTCAATCTCACTGTCCTGAAGGCCGGTGCAGCGGGCAATGCACGCGTTGGGGTACGTGCGTCCATTGATGGCGCACACGGGCACAAACTGGTCGGCGCAGTTACACGGCAGGCCTGGGGTGGGGCGGTGGGATGATCGATCTCGTATTTTACTTGTGCGTGTGCATATGTGTGTACACCCAACAATCTTTTGTAGGTGAAAAGCACAGGCCTAATTGTAAAAAAACTGAACTGCAGCATCGCCCCCTACCGGTGATTACATCCGTTTGTCAAACATAGCTCCTTCTTCATGAGAATAGCGTTACTAACCGAATGTAGTAGTTATTGTTATTACTGGAACCTGTGAAGCGCCGGCGATCCTCCTCACTGCTCTCTCCACTTAGGCACTGGCGCACGGAACAGCTCAGCTCGCCAGAGAAGCAGGAGCAGATGTTGCAGTCCACTCGGAAGTGTGTGCCGTGGCCTGTGGGGACGCGCGTACGCAGGCAAAAGTCAAGGTCTCGCACATTACACACACAAAGGTCGCCAATTTATCCTTATCGACCAAAGGGACGAGTGTTTGTTAGCGAGCCCCTCTTAAGATCAGCACAGCACAGAAGATGTATGGCCCCCCCACAACACCCCGCCCAGCCAACTATACCTCCCAAAATCTGATGTTTCATCAGTATTTTGACCAAATAACCTGGAGAGCACCACATTTAATCAGATCTCAGATGCTAAGCAATATTTAATCTCGTATTTGGATGGATGACCATTTTGCATAACAGGTCTAAAATGATGTGGGGCAGCAGTGGGCAGTACATCAAAATGTATTGTTATTCTGTACTTCTATGCTCTAACATCTACACTACACACCATCACCAATACAAACTAACCAGACATGGTAAAGTATGTTAAAATAACCCTCACAACCCAATAGCACAGGGAGGCAGTTGAATGATAAAAAAGGGCTATAAATTTAGACAAAGGGAGACCTTGGACAGCTTCAGAAACCACTTGCCACTGAAGTGCATAGTGGGAAATCAAACCCAGGCTGCTGTATTTACCACTGTGACATCAAGAAAGTGCTAGGGGAAGCCTTCATCTAGCAGTGGATTGATCATTGTTGATAATGATGATCGTGATGACCAAGGCAGTGTCTCCGTGATGGCAGAGTTCGTTTTGGGGGTCCTGCGTACTCTTGCGCTGTCCCCCGACGATGCAGGAGCGAGTGTCGAGGCAGGGCGTCTCGGCGCAGTCCTCGAGTCGCCCGCTCGTCCCGCACGAGCACAGGCGGTAGCAACCCACCTCGCCCGAGGCCACCGGCACCCGCACCATGCTGTCCTTCCGCACAAGGAAGTCAGATGCCTCTCCTAGCTTGCAGCCTATGCACAGGTAGAGGGGGTTGAGGGAGGGGGTTAGACGTGATGAAATGTTTAAATAGGAGGTGAGTGGAGATCACCTTCTGACAAGGAGCTCAGGACCCTATGGTCTATATCAATGGGCCCCAACATGGTGTACAAATGGCATTCGATGACAGTATCAAAAATTACCACTCATTATTTATATGCAATGCCGATGAAAATTTAGATTTATTTTTTGCATTCTGATAAATAATCATTTAGTCATATTATTATATTTTTTTACAGGTAAATCTCCGTTCTTTCGGCAAATTAATCAGGTGGTAGTTTAACCATGTGTAAAGACAGTACAGGGGACTAGCGGTCACAGGGGGTAATAACAGGGGCATTAGCAAAGGAAAAGACTCGGGGCCACAATGAGTAATGACAGGTTAATTGACATAGTAGTTACGGGGGGTAATGACAGGGGAATTAGCATGGGGAGAGACTAGGGGCCATAGAGGGTAATGACAGGTTAAGGGACAGACAGATGAACGATCTGGAGTCTACGAGAAGGATCGCGAATAGGGGTTGTGGCCAAGTGATAGAAGGGGGCAGGTGGAGATCAGGGACTGAGAGCAATTGAGAGGGTTAGAGAGACGGGACGTGGCCAAGGGTCAAGGGATGGCCACGCTGGGGATAAACGGGGTCGAGAGGAGAGGCTCGAGGCTGGTGTTGGAGTCGGGGTCTTTGCCTGTCAAGTGAACGTGTCTTCAATAAAGAATCATCACAACAGCAGTGTCTCCTGGAGTCATTACACATTTGTGAAAATAAGCATTGAAAATGTACATGCACAATAATTGAATTATTTGCTGTTCTTTACTCATCAAGGGCTCATGACTCAGGTGCCCACTTGACCACAAATGCCTGCAAGTAAACCATTTACTTAATCATAATTTTACGTAGATTAAAACTGAATCAACCACTTACAGGCCTCATCAGCCACTGTGTCCACAGCCTCTCACCTGGTACGCACAGGTAGGGCAGACAGTCCTGACCCGGCGTGCAGCCCTTGCGGTTCACCTCACACAGGTGACTCGTGGGACACGGGTTGGGGTTGCACGGGTGGACCACCTCCTCAGAGCTGACTCCAGACAAGACCCCACCATTGCCAGACGCCCCCGGCCCCCAACCTTTGCCCCCACCGCCACTGCCGCCACCACCGTTGTTGATGGATCCTGGGGCTGCGTGACCACAGCACAAAAAAGCGCACACGCGTGCAAAACCACACACACGCACACCGGGCTCACTTGAGACAAGCTTAATCGCAACACACACATCTGGGACACTGTTGTGATGCCACCATGCAAATTATGTATTGCATTTGCGAGATTAAAAAAATGTGTTTTGGCTTGGAAAATTCAGATTGACCACTACCTCATAGAAATATTTTCAAACATCATGGTATTAAATGTTAACTTGATGATAACGTATATGATGATGTAGCTCAGGTCAAAATTTTTAATATGACTATTTTGTATATTTTTATTAACAATTACTATTACACCATATGGTCTGGGATAAGTAGGTAAAACTTAATGCAAAGAGTGACCCAGGAAATTTCTGAGAGAGCAAGGGAGGACCCATGGCAAAACCCCAAACTCGCTACCCACCTGAGGGAAATACAGGGCAAAGGGACAAGAATGTCCCTTGCCGTTTCACTCTGAATTAAACAAACCCTGGTGCCTGGAAAAATGAAACGTTCCAATGCCAACCGTGCATATGAACATTCTTAAGCATCCTGCCATTAAACATTAACTTTGGTGATATGATATATTGTTACATGAGAATACAGCAAATAGTCAGGAGGTTTTGGAATACTAGTTGAATGTTTTATTAACATCCACCTATCTATATGTAGATTAATAGCGCTGGCTGCTGACAGAAAGTGGTACTGTGTGGCCAAGGCAGAGCAAGGCCACGCCCGGAGCATAAGAGAGAGCCCTGAGAGAGAGCTCGGGGCTGTTGCTGAAAGTGGATCCCCTCGCCGCGCTGCTGTTCGTCACCATCTTCACCATAACTGTGCACCGTGAGCTAGACAGCCTGCCAACTGTACTAGCTAGATAGTGCCACCGACAGACGGTTGTGTGTATATTATATATAATTAGCGGGAAGTACCCAGCGTTGCCCGGGCGAAAAATACAGACACACATCGACTTACAAACACTTACAGACATTGACCCACACACACAAACACATCGCCTTACACACACACACATGTGGACTCACACACACAGACATTGACTTTAGATACACACTAATGGAGTTACACACACATATCGATGTACACACATACAGCGACTCACACACACACCGACCTACACACACATATGGACTTACACACACACATATAGACTAAGACACACATACATGGACTTACACACACATGGACCCATGCACACACATCGACTTACACACTACTCACACACACAAATACATAGACTCACACACAACGCCCTACACACACACACATATGGACTCACACACACAGACATCTACTTTAGATAGACACACATGGAGTTACACACATACAGCAACTCACACACACACACATCGACTCACACACACACATCGACTCACACACACATACATAGACTCACACACACACCGACCTACACACACATATGGACTTACACACACACATATAGACTAAGACATACACACATGGACTTACACACACATGGACCCACGCACACACATCGACTTACACACACAAACATCTACTCACACACAAAAATACATAGACTCACACACACAACGCCCTACACACACACATATATTGACTCACACACACAGACATCGACTTTAGATACACACACATAGAGTTACATACACATATCGACGTACACACCCACATCGACTGACACACACACATATCGACTCACGCACACACATATCGACTCTGCCACACACATCGACTCACACACACTAACATCGACTCATACACACAGACACATCGAATCACACAAATCGATGCAGACACGCACACATGGACTTAGACAAGCACATAAATATTTTAAAATGTACTAAATAAATTTTAAAATATTAGTTGTCTACACACACAGACCACTGCACACACATTGACTAACACACACACATATCGACTCACACATATCGACTCACACACACACTCATGGTCTCACATGCACACATGGACTTAGACACACATTATTATTTAAAAAATTTAGAAACCTATTTGTTAAATATTAGTTGTGTACAAACACACACCATGCACACACATTGACTAACACACACACACATCGACTGACACACAGACATCAACTCACGCACACACACATCGACTCACACATACATCGACTGATACACACACACACGGACGTACACACACACACACGGACGTACACACACACACAAAGTTATCTTTGTGTTTTTCGAAAAGGGTGGCCATCCTAAGGTGGTGCGTCAACTATTAGCTGATCATTAAAAGCATTGCTGCCCATTGAGTTACGTAGATACGGTCGTTAGAAGTATTTTAGTCATTCTTGTTGTTAATAGCCTAATTGTACGAATGAATTAGTTGATGAAACTAAACATTTAGAAACATCTATGTTACGAATCTACACACTCACAGGGAGACTATTGTGTTAAAATATTTCTTTTGAACACAGAATCTTCCCCGCGAATTTATAGAAGCCTTAGCCAATTGATAAGCATTTGCTAGACAAGACATTTCGTTAATTGCGTAATCTTACCAATGAATTCATTGAGGTCTACTTTTGCTTTCGGGACATGTTTCTTTATTACTGTTCTTATGAATATTGTCTCATTCATTTTGAAAAAGTCTTTCCTATCGCCGTGATCATAAGGACTCTTTCCTATCGCCGTATATGATCACCTTACTCTGAAGAATAAGCCAATTGTTCTGTTACCCAGTTTAACAAACGTATCATTGAGGATTAAATGTACGGATCAATGAGGAGAACATCTCCAGGAGTAATGTGTTGACATTCCTAGCATAAGAGTTCGTATATTAGAGTGTTATGGTTTTTTTTAGATATTATAGTTGCTTAACACAGAAGAGTCTGAGTGGTGCCTTCCTAAGTTCATGCATAATAATCTTAATTATAAGAACTGTATCCTGCGGTGAGATCTGAATTTTGAGGCCTGACATAAAAACACTAAAACATAATCAGTAAAAGTTAAAGTGAGAATCATTGTATTATCCTGATTGATAAGACAACCCTAGACAACGAAGTCGAGCTTAATCAGCATACTTACACCACACTTGCATAACTTCATACAATTCAGTGTATTATCCCGATTGATAATACAACCCTAGATAACGAATCCGAGCCTAATTAGTACAATTACATACACTTGCATAACTTCATACAATTACACCTTCATTGTATTATCCTGATTGATAATACAACCTGAGACAACGAATCCAAGCCTAATTATCAAAATTACAGAAATTAGCATAATTACATTCACTCGCATAACTTAAAACAGTACACCTTTCTAATTAGCATAAATTCATAATTTGCATAATTACATAAATTCGCATAATTTCGGGAAATTACACATTGTTCAATTTTTATTTTATTTTTTATTATTTTATTAATTTTTCAAGACCCAATTTTTCCAACAGTTTTCATGGTCGGAGATACATTGAGCTCTCTGGTGTAGTATTTGATGAGGGAATTCTTCTGGGATGGATGGTGGTTGGAATCAGGTTTTAGGTAGGCATCAGTATGGGTTACTTTCCTGTAGACAGAGTGGCTCATTGAGCCATCTGGTCTCTTTTGATTAAGACATCCAAGAAAGGTAGCATGCCATCCTTTTCTACCTCCATGGTGAATTTAATTGCTGGGTGTATGGAATTGATGTGGTTGAAGAATTGATCCAGAGCTGGTCGGCCATGTGGCCAGATGATAAACGTGTCATCCACGTACCTCTTCCACAAGGACGGGTGTAGAGTGGATGCCTGGATGGCGTCCGTCTCAAATTTGGGTTGAGAATGGGAGCAACGCACCCCAGACTACATAAAGATGCCTATCTCGCTCCTGACAAGATGGCGTCCTCCACCTCTCATGGCCTATTTCATAAATCCTCTTCTCAAAGACCTCCTGCTGAGAGAAAGATCTCTACCATGTTTGTTTGGAAAATTTCTTATGAGAGATTTGTTTTATATAACTACCAATATGAACCTAATTCTGAACGCTATGAAATTGAAAAGGGCATTACAGATAGAATCACAGTGAGAAAGACAGGCATACTCGGTGCATTGATCGCTGCATGATAGAATGGACCAGTCATTACACTGTGAATGAGCTGTTCGCGTCACAATGAACACACGCATACAATCACAAGCGGCACAGCACATCTGCAGTGCTGTGTTGCATGTGATTGTATGTGTTGTTGGTTATGTACGGTACGAAAGAAGTTGAACATACATTCACAGCACGTTTTATAGACTGCGGGGTTACATAGTACAGCAAAATGCACTGTTGTACTACTCTATGCTCCCACATATATGCTCCAGAACCTTCACCAAACTGTACGAATCAGCATACAGAAATATTGGCAGTATGGTGAAATATCCCAAATGATCCGCATGCAATTGGGGACCCTCATCCAGCAGCAGACTAACAAAATGGTACATTTACATATCTTTCATAAAAGTAGGCCACTGGTACCTATTCCCAGTGACACAGCATGTCAGGGGAAATTGGACAGAAGGGCCAGATTTATTCCTTGCACCTGAGCCTATGCCAACACACGCTACGTCACTGCCTACTCTGACCAGTGTATCTTAAGCTTGGTGGTGTAATCGCTGCCCAGTACAAAGTATGTAAGCCACTCGTGACAAGATGCATGCATGTGATACTTACTAAGGTAGCGTGAGAGAGGGATACATTGTTCCGGCTCATCTGTGGGCGATAGGATGTCGCAGATTGTGTCAGCTGAGTGTCCGGCAGGAAAGCGGTCCATGTCCCCACACTGCTCCAAGATGTCCACACAGTCAGACCTGTCGATGATCATACACAATTCGCACCTCCGATTAGCACGGTTGACTATGTACGGTGCAAAAGAAGTTCAACATACATACACATAATGACCACATCAGCTACCAGCATAAACATCAATGACAGTACAATGACCAAAGCTGCACTCATGATTCTTTTTCTGAAATTGCATCATCATATTTACGTGGCATCTTTAATGACAGAATTGTTTGGAATTTACTACCAAAATGAGCCAAGAATGTCTGTGTGTCCCGCACGTGACGTCACTCCACGTCGGCCAGCCCCCCTCCTAAATAATCATGGACAGGTGACGTCCTATACATAGACCCCCCCCTCATTAATAATCATGAGCGGGTGACATCACTCTACATGTAGCACCCCCCCCTCATTAATGAGCCGGTGACGTCACTACACATCAAACAGCCCCCCTCATTAATAATCATGAAGAGATGACGTCTTCCAAATGGACACCCCAGCCGCCATTAATAATAATTAGCGGCTGACGTCACTCCACATGGGGGGCGAGGCGCCTCTTCCCCCTCCTCAGCGTCAACTTACAACCATCACTACAAAGGCAGAACCCTCACGTCACGCGATCTCAATAACGCTATTGAGACATACACTGTAGAAGTAAAAAGGACGTCATGACGTACAAGGAATTATCACCTTTAAATGAAATAGGTCTGTGTCACCGCGGCCTTAAAAATGGACACAAATTGATACAATGAATATCACGTCGCGATCTGCTTTTCACTTGCAAGTTTCAGATTTACTGAAATACACCCGTCCTTGGACGGGCAAAAGGCTAGTTTCTAATAACAGTTTAATGTTCAGTGTGTAATCATTCACTCCCCCCAGAGATTCGATAAATTATAAAAATTTGGGGTTATGATTATATCCTAACATTATTATTTTTTAACTCGCTGTCTCTTTGGTATTGTTTATAATTTGTTCTGTTTCATTTGCAGTGTCCCGTTTACGATATTAGCAAAAACTAAATATTTCCATAAACTTGACATTGCATAATAATTTCTTACATGCACAATTCGACACATGTCTCATGAACGACTTGACAAACTTCTCTTGAGATGGCACTTTATTGAAGACACGTTCACTTGACATCAGGCGGAGACCCCACTGCAACGACCCTGAGTCTCCCGCGCATCTCCCTTATATACCAACACGAGGCCACGCCCCCCTTCCCGAACCTTCTCGCTGACTCTGGACACTCGCTCCACCGGCAGACTCTACTGTTTTCTTCCGTTACCTGACCACGCTCCCTTCTCAAACATTCCCGTAGCCATCAGTCCCTTCACACATACAACTGATACCCCTGTCATTACCTCCCATGGCCACTAGTGCATTAGCAATATAGTCTGACTCCCCTGTCATTACCTCCCGTGGCCACTAGTCCACTCACACCGCATTACACACATATATAAATGAACCAGACAGCTCATCACATTGTTTATTTGGGAAGGGGTGCGTGGCGGTGCTTCCTGTGCCGCCACTAGAGTTCCCCACCTGCATATGATGGCAACAGGAGAGCTACCGAGGCACGGCTTGACCTGCAGCACGCATGCAATGGCCTTCCACGTTTCGGGCTGGCAGCGACGAATGTCCTTGACGGGAATGATGAGGAAGGGCATCTGGATGGTGCCACGCTCCCACAGGCGGATGTCATTGAGTGCACCCTGGTCAGCCTGCGCGTTGCATCCACGGAACAGCTCCGTCGGCCTGCCAGGGTCGCACGCCTTCTTCGTGAGAATAATGTATTGCATAGCATGGCTTTTATCTGTAAGCCAGTGAGTCAACTAGTTGTCATTTTTTCAGATTGTTGTCGATTGGCCTTTGATCAAGTCACTTAGAAGACACCTGACCTTTTCAAATCTTTAAAGATCAGCAAGGGATTATTTCAGCTGGGAAAGCCTCACTGAGGCTCTTGACTTTTTTCAGGAGGGTCCCGCCAAGTCTTCCACAGTAGGGGGCGATAATTGCATACAATTACACAATCCCAATAGAGTAATTTGCAGGTACGTTTTCAAAGTTTACAAATTTGGACCATGATGCCAGGTCACAATGGCCTTATGATATCATGGGGATTTTGAAGCAGACGGTATTTATTTGTTATGGTTAATACATCTGCAATAATAACCAGGGTGGCCGCTGCATCCAAACCATTAACCTCTACAACAAGCGGTGAATGCTTTACTGCTGGATCATGTCAGGATGTTTGTTAGGTGGGCGACCAACAAGCACAGCGAGTTGTTATGAGGTCAGAAAATTAGACAATGACAAATTGGATCGAAAGCGTACAAAATATGCATGGAGTGGTAAATGCTTGATACTACACTGAGAGGCAGAGTTGAACAAATTGATCGGAGAACGAGACATGACGTTGATTGTTAAGAAACGTTTGGGCAGGACTCGAGAAGGAATTATGGCCGGTAGTCAACGAAAGAGAGAGCTGTAGCCGAAGGATACAACACACCGAAAGAGACGTGCACTACAAACTTTGCAACCTAAGCACGATTGAACCTGGATAGCGCTCGGATATGATGCACGTGCAAAATGTTGCATGTAATGTGCTGAAACTGGATATATGACAGGTGGCAAAGGGTAAAGGTGCAGCCCTGCAATTGCTCGCTCTAGTCGCTACTGGTGGAAGGGCCTCCTTTAGATGGAGCTCGAGAAAGCTCCTGTAGAATGTATTTTGGCCTACTCTTCCACGCTGACCAGCTGTCTTGGAAGAGGTCAAAATGAATCCCAATGCATCGCCCCACCACACACCGATCTACCAATCGACTAACTGTGGTGTATCCATTTATACTGTACGTATGACATATATCAATTTTAATAAAAAATGGGTCCAATTTTGGGAAGCTACAATCAACTTCAAAGTGGATTATAATTATGCACCAGCAATGAATGCACCAGTACTGGGCCTCTGGGAAGCTGCATGGACTGCATGTGCTTATTTAGCAAAGCAAGCACATACGAAGCCATTGCTAAATCCACCTGTGCATGCCACCTGAGACTGTAAAAACCCGAGATGAAGCTTGTAGCCCCCACAAACAGAAATCATGAACTGCCACTGCCTGTAGTGGTCATATTCCTAGATATAGACCCCACACACAAAAACAACTAACCATTGGGCTGTCTCGGGGTTTGCTTTAAGCACACACACACACCTGTTGTTAAAGTTGGTGCAGTAGTTGAGGTCCCGACAGCCCAGCTGGCATGGCTCTCGCACGTCTGCAAGGCAGCCCATCATGGATGGCTCCTGGAGTCGGTACTCGCACTCCCGCTCAAACTCCTGCCAGCTCTGGGCACTGCCCCAGCTCATGCTGAAGAGTCCAACGCATAGATCCCTGAACCACAGCAAGAGAGACGGGGGGGGAGGCAGGCGACACACAAATATGCCAGTAAGCAAGGGAGAATGGGCGATAGGCTCAAATATCAAGGCCTTAATTTTTCCGGTATCAGAGGAGAGAACTAGACTGTCTTATACTACTGCTCATTACCATATTTTTCTCTCCACGTAGAAAATACAAATATATTTTTTCACGCATTCTATCAGCCACGTGGTCTTCTGCTTTTGTGCTATATGCTACCACGTAGGTTTTTGCGGTTGTGATCTGTAGCTCCCATGTCTTTTCAGGTTGTACCGTGTGTTGTTCGGCACGATGTCCAACAATTCCCTGCACATTCTGGAAACACCTTTAAAAGGCTCACAACCCAAAAAACACATTGGAATTGGTGGTTGATGTCATAAACAATGTCACAAAGAGTCAATGTTTTCAACAAAGTCTTTGTGTAAAGTCAACAGTGTGTGTACCATGAATAAAATGGTTCCTTCTTCCAGGATTTTGCAATTTCCACTACTTTGTAAGGACTATCGCTGGAAATAGCAAGCATTTCCATAACGATTTAAGCAGAGCCACTGAAAGGTTTTTGGACGGTCTGAGCAAAGTGCCAGATGAGGTGCCCTTTGAGGCTCCCTCGGCCCTAATTGACCTCCCTTGGATTTGAGGCCAAGGTACTAATTTATTGACCTCCAAAGGATGATGTGCTGATTGAATCCCTAGCTTGTTGGTGCTCTGCCACAGCACGAACCAGCCAGGTCATACATCAACGCAGCACTGCACAGAAAAACAAACATTGGTCATGTTCAGTGTGCTGACTAAAAAAGGAAAACCAAACACAAAGAGCAAACAATACGAACTGTGCCAGACCACTCTGCTGGCTGGCTTTGTCTTCTTCCCTTTGCTGTGGGGAAATGGTGCCACCTATTGTCCCAATGTAGAACAGCAATAACAGTAACTGCGATATTCTCTTCATCAGGTTTACTTTACCGTGGTATAACGCAGTTTTTCCTCATTGCAAGGCCCGCGGGCCACTGGCGACACCCTGGTGACCTTAAGTGCGGCCTCTGGCGTGCAGCCCCTCGACAAAACACGAATGGTGAAAACACCCGACTTGGCAGGCGGGTGTGGTGGCACTCACACTGATGATGTTTTATCGGCGAAGGTGTCCCCCCTCTCATAAATTAGTGAACAGCACTGGTATAAACGGGTCGAATAATCGCAACGATGCACGTAGCGACTCGTGCTCCTCCCTATTAGAGTGTCACAATTCGGCGGCCGCAATTCAATTCAAGAATCAATTCCATATATACAACATTGTGGGATTCGTAGCACTTCCGGTGGCTGCAATGGCCTATCATGTGCAACATATACAGTACGAATAAAACAAAATAAATCGATTATCACGCACTTGATGCGTAATATATTGTAATTTATAAATTGATGCATCGTTACGTACTGTGGGGGAAAATTGTATATCACAAGGAAAACATTGGAAACTCAAAGCAACCCACTTTTCCAACATTTGGCACTCCAAATAGCAACGTCTTAAGGTAGTGTTGGTTTTCTGATGCGACCAAAATACCTTCTGATCTCATCAGATATTGGAAGCTAAGTTGGAGTGAGCCTGGAGAATCTCTCAGATGGGTAACCACCTTTAAAAAGCGGTCCCCATCGGCCTGCGGGGCTGCATGGTGGGCAGTAGAGGGCAGTGGAAGTAAAATGCCCACTTTCACTCACCAACACTGGCCAGCATGGCACGGTTGGCTACGTATGGTGCGAAAGAAGTTCAACATACACACAAAGTATGGTCTAGACCAAGGGTTGGCAACCTGCAGCTCGGGGGCCGTGTGCGGCTCTTGACGGACTGCTTTGTGACGTAATGTAAGAATGTACTCACATGCATTGTGGCTCTTGAAATATTGAGTTTTGTACCGAATTCGATTTTTTTTGTTAAATGGCTCTTCTTGTTATTTTAGTTGCCGACCCCTGGTATAAACCCACGTGAGCAGCATGGCAAGGAGAGGCCCCATTCACGCAGTGGATTGACAAACGTTGCTGCCGATCACCTTGCACCAAACGGGAACAGCTGCCACGAGGTGGTTGTGGGGGGAGGAGGGTCGCCTTAACAAACCCACTGCGGGGCATGGGAACGGTTGAGATGAGAAGCGGTGATGCGAGACGCTTTGCGTCACTGCAGAGGCACTTCGGCGAGCGCTTTTTAGAAACGCAAGCCAGCCCTCGTGGGCTTCACGCGAGCCAACCACCTGCAGTGCGGGGAATTCGCTCGCGAGCAGCACTGCAGCTTGGCTCCATCCAGGCCCGTGGGCGAGGAGGCCGCGTCCTGTGCACCGCCGCCGCCGCCCGCGCGCCGCCGGCCGCCCCCCGTGTCGGCGCCCTCCAGAAAGCACTGCCAGAGCGGGTCCTGTGGCAGAGGCTGCCGGCCACAGCCCTCGATGAGGCCCTCCACCATCTCCTGCTCCGACGCGATGGTGACGAGCACGCGGCGGCACGCCTCCTCGCACTTCGAGTCCGCTGCGCGCTCGCAGCAGTGGAGGCCTTCATGCGCGCGCACAGTCAACAGCGGTCGTTCGTCGTTGACGTTTGTTTAAACACGTCGTAAGCTTTCGCGACCAATATCATTCATAATAGTTTTTTTGGGGGTGGGGGGGTTAGATCGCGTAAATATAAATGTGTCACCACCCGACACAGCCAATTCGAAAGGTTTGTCACATGAACAGAACTTGCCCATTCGTTACTAGTACACCACACTGGTGTCTTGGGAAAAAAAAACCTTAATTACGGACCATTTACGATTGTGAAGAGGTGCCTTTCGTCCGTAGATGCCCGATGCACCACTGCGCATGGAAAGCGGGGTATAAACAGAACCTGCAGGGTAAACGGAAAGAACTAGGCGGGAGCGGGGGGGGGGGTAAAGGCCAATTTTAAAGAAGTGAGTTTTCAAGACAGACCTAAATAGCTCTAAACGACTCTGAATATCTTATTGGTACATGAAAAGCGTTCCAAAGCCTGGGAGCTGCATTGGCAAAAGGGGTGATTACTCCAAGACACGAGCCTTGACCTCGGCATAATTAAAAGGTGATCTTAAAATCTCTGAGACCTGGTTGGAGAGTAAATTTGGATCAGTTTCTGCAAATATTGCGGGGCTAACCCATGGGGTGCCTTGTAGGTCAGTAGCAGGATCTTATCGTTCACTCGATACTTGACTGGTAGCCAATGCAAAGACCAAGGATCCCCGTAGAGCCGTAGACTGTGGGTGCAAGTGTGGTTAGTGAGCACCTATGAAGGCAGGCACCAGCACACAAGGGAGTGGGTGGCCAGCAACAAACCCGCCCACCTTTGTTTCCACCAGTGCTGATGTTTTATTAGTTTAACACTGATGTTTCATATACACGCACAGCATCGGGTACTGAGTTAAGGTTCAGTCGACCTAGGGGAGACCCAGGACCGGTTCAGATAATCATCACCGGTGTTGTCCGGGACTGGGAATTGGACTCGTGTTGCCGGGTTCGTAATGCAGCAATTCGACAACACGATGTGTTGGATATTTAACAGGAACTCACTGGCAGAGCTGAATGAGCTGGTTACGCACCCAAGGGATGCTTTTCATCACGGTGTTTCGCTTGCAAAGATAATGCTGTATCACACCGGGCAATCATGCATTCGTTCGTTATATTTTTCCATGTGGAAATATGCTCAGGAGCTAAATGGCAATGTTGAGGTTTGCTAAGCCACGCGACGAGAGGGCTTCGTGTAGTTTTGTTACTCCTCTAAAGGAGCACAGACTGCAGCGGGTCACAATATGGTCCATCGTTTGGGTGACATGGCCACAATCGTACTGTGGCTTGCGTCTTAAATGTTTAATTTCATAAAAGAGATGTGCGCATCGGTCTAATTGTGTTTTGATACGGTTGATGGCACACCAGTATCTTTAAGGGATGTCAGAGGCAGTAAGCGTGACGTATGAAACCCGAATGAGTTGATTATTCTGGACGTGCGAGTTGTTCAATCCCTTTTGCCGGCGTTCATTCATTCCAGGTGGACGGAAGCCAGGCGCACTCACTGTCGAGGGGGTTGCGCGCGGGGTAGGACTGTGTGTAGTTGTCGAAGCAGCGCACGACAGCGGGGCTCGCGACACTGCAGTAGTTCTCGACCGTGCGGATCTGGTTGGGAGTGGGCGCCGAGTCTGTGCGGAAGATGGCCTGGCAGTACTCCCGGCAGTTGGTGTGGCGCCCCGCGTGGCTGCAGCACAAGGAGCCCACTGCACGCGGAGGAAGCGGCACGAGGCGTTTCTTTTATCATAAATCAGGACTGGAGGAATACGATGAGCTCTGAAGCTCTTTTTTTCATCGATGTTCAACTCACGTCTCGTGCAGAATAAGGCTTTACAAGTGGCATTCATGTTTCTTGCAGCTGTTTTCTAATGCCGTATGTGTATGGTTTTTTTTTACATAACGCAGGTTTTCCTGGAATAACATTTGTGGTCGCAATGTGCACAAAGATGGAATGCATCCATATACAATACATTTTATTTACACTACTCATGTTGGGCTACCTGACTGTGTCTATTGAAATGTGTGTACAGTACTTTCAATTATGTGAATTTTACTTTAGGTTTTAGCAGATACCAATTCATTTTCAATCATAATAATGTACAGACCTTTGTCAATCCAATGCCGGATGGAGGTGTTCCTTACACCGTATCGGCCAATGGGGTTGTTTAACTATATTTCTTCATTCTGGTGAGTGTGGGTTGGACCGGTTCAAATATCACTCACCACTGATGTTAGCCATGGCCGGGAATTGAACTTGAGGTCACGTTCATAGCGCAGTTTATTAACAACTAACGACCACCCCTTTTAATAACTAATCGCTTAACGACAGGCCTCCATAGAGCCCAATGTGTAGTGTATAGCAGTGTCGTGCCTCAATCGAGCTCAATGTATTCGCTTACCGACCATGCCCCTGTTAACGACGGGCTGTTGTAGGTCCAGTACATATTAATTCATGCATTGATTTCCCATGTTTCTTTTAATAATGTGTTTATCATGTTGTTCGTATATTTAAGTATTAATATGCATTGTTTAAATATTATAAAGAACGTTTTTTGGGTGAAAAGGGTACATTTCTATGCTATCGGAACGAATTAATCCTTTAACATGTTTTCCCTACACTCGCTTAATGGCCAAATCAATAAACGACCACTTACGTGGAACTAATTACCGTCGTTAAGATGGGTTATTTTCTGTACCTCGCTAATTACTGATTACACTACAAGTAGTTTTCAATATAATGCTACACTCCTATAATTGCAATATAATCAGTAATCACTGTCAGTTAAGCCATTTTGAAACAATACGCATCTTAAGTTAAGCTTTGTTATAAGGCTTACCGCGATTTAACAGCATTCCCCTAGCTTGTCCAGATTCTCACCACAGGTAATTCATGGAGGATGGGAATGGGAATCTTCCACATACAAAATATAAGAATATGGTTGATGATGTACATGCATTGACTGCTGCGTTTAAAAGTGAAGAGAAAGACTCAGATACTGTATGTGGTTAGCAACACTTACTCTCATTGCGATTGACACAGTTGTACAAAGCAGTCTGAAAAAATGAAAAAATAACATTTTATCAATACAATTATTGCAATTCTCACAATGCTCTGCAACTAAGGAATGTATTGCCCGCAGTATTCCCTAATTTCCAGCTACATTAATAACCTAGTTATACATGCAACTTATCATTAAAATATAACAATTTTAATTATGTTTAACAATAATTGCAACTTAATTTATGTGATTGGTGTCTTATTATTATTAACGTAACATTCGTTACAGTGAATATGCATGTTCAATCAAGATTGTGTGACCTGTCAGAATAAAATGTGTGACAATATTGGCATGGCGCTCAGAAGTTTAAAAGTGTGTACACTCTTCTAACACAACAATGGAAAACATGAACTGTCAACTAATAACTAATTCAATAAAGATAACTTTGTAGAAGGTTAACTAATAAACTCCCACAGGCTTTTACGACCAATATTAAATTGATGATTGGGGTTTTTTGGGTTAGGCCTTGTAAAGATGTGTGTCGATCTGAGCTCTTGTTAACAACCTGATAATGCTGAACATAATCTACAGCGAAACGTCGTAGCCATTTAAATGTTGTGGTATTGCTGAAGCAGCAATACATTTGGTACGTTTTTTCATCACGTGACACTTCTATCAACAACATTTTACACGATCTAATTCAAAAGAAACCAATAATGAATCAAACTCACACAACTTTGATAAGTTAACTGTTCAGCACTAGATAATTGTTTTTTTACCCTTTTATCTGGCAACAAAACTGACACCTTTTTTTTACAAGGAGTCATGTTTGCATTGACCACAATACCTGCGGTCGGAATGCAAACAAAAACATAACTCTGACAATGTATGCACTGTCCTTGAAATTGATTGGTTCACACCCGAGACAGCTTTCCTTAGAGCCTCGTCTCACATGGTGTGGACCAATTTCAAGGATAGTGCATACATTATCAGAGTTCTGTTTTTTGTTTGCATTCCGACCGCAGGTATTGTGGTCAATGCAAACATGACTCCTTGTAAAAAAAGGTGTCAGTTTTGTTGCCAGATAAAAGGGTTAAAAAACAATTAGCTAATTTTGCTACTGGCAAAGGAGGTTCCAATGGTGTTCAGCACTAGTTCTCACCACGAGGTGGCGATACAGCACCAAGACAACCCACAACTTTTTACTTGAGTGACAAACCGCAATTATCTTGAATCGGCAAGACAATGCCAGCGCTCTACGCTGAATGTCAACATAAATGGCAGCATTTATGTTGACATATAGAGTACAGTACTTCATGTATATTTTATGGGGGGTTTTTCACTGATAAATGCATTCCAGGATTTCGTCCAAGTAAGCCACAAACATGCGCTTTACATAGAGTACATATGTCTGCCTAAGGCTGTGGTGGAAGGTCCACATTTCTATGGTGGGGTCGAGTCCACACACGAGATGACCTATGTTCACTTCCCACAATGTGATATCTGTTTCCTAAGCCTCGAGGAGATTCACGGTTGCCTTGATTCCAAAGGAAAAATTATTTTGCACTTCATAAATACGTATAAAAAGACATGCAATGTATTGCTTTTTTTACTGATCCAATACTACAGTATTTCGTATTTTCTTCTTAAAGAATGCACTCTTATCTTGCACAATGCATTTTCAGAGCTGCAATGTGTGATGTTTATATTCAGGATAGCTGCTACTGTAAAGCTTAGTGATCCGTTTGCAATTTCCCATGTAATTATTTTCATTATTAAATGCGCGAATAATAAAATTTGCTGCAACGACTTCATAGAATACCGAACGACAACAGTGACCTTTAAATCAGACGTGCTTATCTGTCATATGAACCTTACGGCGGGACCCCGGGGTCCCATAAGCTCCCGGCTCTCGCATAAACATTCTATTACAATGTAAACATCATATTATATATTATATATAATGTAAACATTATATTACAATGGAAACAAAAACCTTGCTCTTTTTCACCAATGGGTTTGAAGGATGGTGGCAAGTGTTGTTAAACTATGCCTTTAAAACTGAAAACTACTTACCTGCAGTACCTCTATTTAAATGCAAGTAAAAGACTGCTACTCACGTGGAAGAAACCTACTCAAGTAAAGACTTCTACTCACTTCTAGATTTAAAGCTTTCGTGACTGCAAGGATCCATACTCTTTGGTTCTATTGGGTAAAGTCACGTAGGTACAAAATAAAATAACAAAAATCACGACGTTGCGGCCTTGATGAAGGCCGCTTGTGTTGTGGCCGAAGCGTCGTTATTTTTGTTATTTTATTTTTTACCTACGTGACTTTACCCAATAGAACCAAAGAGTATACTTCTACTCACGTGGAAGAAAACCGTGCAAGAGAGAGAACACTCTTCACGTATCACCAACAAGGAGGCAACAAGTTCGTGTCTAAGAAGAAGGTACCATTAAGTTTGTACGAGAGCAGATTGTTACCAAGAGTGAAAGACAAGCAAACGTTAATGAGTTACTGAAGCCTGCTAGTTACATAAACAGAACTGTGAGCTGTATTCGCTTTACCAAGCCAAGACTGTGCATATTTTAGGAACGGATCTGCAAAGGTTATCTAATTGAATAACTCTGAGAGTTTTGAAGCCTTTTGCAACTCGTTGTGCACTGAGGAAACAAGATGTCAATCATCGTGTTTCTCAGTGTGGATTTGTGAACACACTTTGTAAACGGTACATAAAATAGTACGCGTTTTCAATGCGCTGTTCATATTGTAACAAGCGTTTATACCAATGTTACTCTACAGAGTAGTGGGTCTCCGCTCCTCTTATCTGCATTGATACCAGCGGTATATGGGGACTATGGCTTAACCACAAAAAAATATATCTGGACAGATGCATATGGACAAGAGAAGTATTATCAAACAGGAGGAATTAACGGCGCAACACATCTCATCTGTTACATATCTGCAGGTAATAGGATTGTCATCTATGGATCCTGGCTGCAGACATTGGTAGGTCACAAATAATAATGAAGATAAGAGAGCAGTTTCACTGTATTATGCATACCATAATCACAAGTAAAGGACTTAAGTCTTGTAGGCAGTTTGAGCAGCTTTGGATAATACTTATGATCCTGCCAATACCCGAGCATGGAGTGCATTCGCTTGTTCAGCCCTTCTGCGCATTCATCCTCTATGCGCTTGGACGACACGACAACAGAATGATCCGCGCCAGGTGGGTCGCGGCGTTTATGTGCGCGGTGGGTCGGAGTCGCCAAAAATAAATTAACTAATTACGATTTTTACTTCCGTATATTCGGGACCCCAGGGTCCCGCGTTAAGGTTCATATATTGGAGTGCATGTTTATTAAATTCCCAATGCGACAATGCGGTATGCATCTGTACGTGCATTTGCCAACGAGTTTTCATTCATTTTAATTTGCAGATTTCCTCCCTCTCATCGGCGCCAATGACAAGGGAGGAAACATTGACCTGTACATTGGGAACATGCATGTGACGTGCACATGCATCCCTACTGGGAAGAAGGCCAGCTGCACACGATTCAGCCATGGCTTGAAGTGGCTGAAAGCAGCAAGAGGGAAATGTTTCGGCTGCACCTTCCAAATCTGCCATTATCCTCAGTCTACCTCTAGTTTTTTTAGTCGATGGTCCCTTTGTACTCTGGGCCTTAGGGCCTCGCCTTCACAAGTGCAATTAAATAACCTCCTTCCCCCAGACCTGGTGCTGACACCCTCCCCACATGCGTTCCCACAGCCTGTATGCACACCTCATACTCTTTCCTGCACTGCGAGCTGATGCCGCTCTTGGCTGATGCCTGCAAGAGACAAAGGGGTCGTGGGCGAGAGACAGAAAAACACTGGCTGATCCATTTACAGACACCCCACTCAAATAACTGGGACATTGCAGGAAAAAATACCGAAAACGTCTCCCACTAATCGCAATACATGTACTGTATTACATATTTTAATGCTCTCCTTTAAGATATGGAGCAATCACTTGCACAATATTCAATCAACTGTTGAGAAGAAATTCAGGGGGTCGTAAGAAATCAGTGGGGTTTCTATAAATGGTTCAGTCTGTACTATACCACGAAACAATGCACAATGCAGCACACCCTGCACGTGACATGTAATCACGCGGTACGCAAACACAATTCAATAGTGTCATCTGCACAACACAACAACAAAACTCTCAATATACCACGGGTAACACGTTTTGCGTCATAATGGACTCAGAAATAAGTGGAGCTTAATGCAATTTTCCAAAGTAGCCATACAAAACACCACAATACATCACTCAGTGGAGCATATCACGGTAATCCACATTTCTACAATACAATACCGCAACGTGCCACAGTATCGCACACCTCACGTGAGAATACCCCAGGCTGGTAGCCAGCACCATTACTGCGCTGTAATTACTTTCCCAACCATATAATGAAAGAGGCAGCCTCATTTATGTATGAGCACATGCATTCACAGATGTAAGATTGTGCCATTGTGCACGTGTCCTTGTTTGAAACCGCATTATTCTTATCTTGTGCGTGAGCGTGTCAGTGTGCAAATGTCTGTGTGTGCAAATGAAGTATAGAAAATGCATAAGTCCCTGAATATAAGCATGTGATTCCCCCACCCCCAAATTCTAAAGTATCAATATATTGACCGCTATATTATTATGCTTATTTATACAGGGCAAATGAACTGCACCTGAATTGTGCTCTGCTTGAAAGAGTTTATCTGCATTCAGAGGCACACCCAGGGGGGGGAGAATGTTTAGATGGCTGTTGAATGCAATTTACCTTTGTTGTAGATTTCTCGTATATGTGAAATTGTAGATAAATCATGAATACTTGTTCACAATTGGCCGGGTGTGCCACCGCTAACATTGGTTTGTATTCACAATCAATTGACCAGATTATTGGCATGTTTGGTTAATGTGTGCGATCCTTGAAGGTGGAATTTCGGACAAACTGAAACCAGCGGAAAATGGCATACACGCTGTGTGTGTGCATGATCCAAATATGTAAATCAGCATGGACAGCCAAGGTAATGGAAATATTGTGTTGCAAAGACACTCATCTACGCAATATATTTTTTTAAACAAACCACACGTCCGTCGTCAGACTGAGGCTGCCAGCCTTTTTACACCCAATCCCCGCACTCGAACCTAGCGAACTGCACACGTCCAAACATTTAAAACACATTTCGCTTAAATGTCCTAATGTGCTAACCATGCGAGTGAGTCATTTCATGGAACAGCGTTTGTGGGGAGGCGTAACTGCTACTTTCCGGTATCATCTCGTGTTTTCCAACCAGCACTTCACTCATGTGAGATAGTACGAGCACATCCGCTGTACACCTTTACAATGGGTGGTGCAAATTATGAATTACACATTGGCCACAATTATGCGCCAAAAATTCATCAGTTAAACACACTCAAGAGTGTGGTGCATTAAATTCATGTCTTGTCTACATACTGTTTGGTTCTTTCGGTCAAGTCACGTAGATATAAAATTAATAGATCACGACGTTTCGATCGCAACACAAGTGACCGTCTTAAGGTGACTTTACCGAAAGAACCAAAGAGTATGGATTCCTGCAGTCACGAAAGCTTAAAATCAAGTCTTGTCTACCTTTGTCACGATGATGGGAATTGTCATGTATTTTCTGGTGTCCATAGCATAGCCTCTACTCCTTTCATTTGCACTTTTGTCAGCACAATTTATATAAACACATGCATATATATTCATGTGGATGAGCATGACGATAAATGAATAATGTATGACACACGCATGGAATAATACAGTCCTGAGTGAAGGATGCATCATAATAAGCATCACTGGCAGGACTAATGAGTGTTCAATTAATTACTGATGTAATTGGATTGTTTAACGATTGTTTAGAATATTCAGAGGCATCGATTGCGCCACATGCCAAAATAAGTTCGGTAAAATTGAATTGGTATCCTCTCTTATTTAAAACAATATCTCTCGTCTAATCTCTCCCAGCTATTTGTACTTTATTTTTTCCCTACCTCTATCATTCTTGTGCGTAACTGGTTCTTCCCTCTTAGTATGTCTATATATGTGTCACTGTCTCACAAACACACACATATACACACACACGTGCACACACACACACACAGAAGCTTCAAAGCCTCCCAGGTCCCGGCTTTATCTCAGCAGGCTACCCAGGTCTAAAGCGCACATACGGGCCCGCTGAGATGTGCGCCGCACCACGGGAGGGAGCTTTAAACATCCTTCCTTGATGTGCCTCGCTCTCACGTGGGCCGCGAGATAATCAATGCCGCTCGGCTGCCTCGTACCGGCGCACTGTTTAGCAACTGCGAGCCCCTATCTGTAGCTACTCACCAAGGCTTCCGACATAATACAATGCAACACAATTTGGAATTATACAGCGTCTAAATACACGGAACATAAACCGGTGGGTATAATATAGATTGAGGCAGCCGATCATAGGCTGAGGGGAAAACGGGAAGGTCCAGAGCCTGGAATTAATAGTAACGGGGAGTCGACAGCATGGATGTTAGGGGGAAGGGAGTTCCAGACTATTGGGGGAGCAGAGTAGAGTGAGCGACCTCCCACTGAGCGAATGTTGACTGGGGGCTTCAACAGAGGCCTTGGCTGCTGGAGCGGAGAATGTGTGCAGTGGAGCAAAGTGAGATGAGCGGGGGTAGAGGTGCGCAGGGCTGAGTCGTTGGAGTATCTTGAAGATAGTGCCATCTGAAATTTGATCCAAGATTGAATTGAAAGCCATTGGAAGGATTGAAGTATTGGAGGGATGTGGTCTCAATTCTAGAATGAAAGCTTTCGTGACTGCTAGGATCCATACTCTTTGGTTCTATTGGGTAAAGTCACGTAGGTGAAAATAGAATAACAAAAAATCACCACGTTTCGGCCACAACACAAGCGGCCTTCATCAGCTGAAGGGACGAGACTGTCTGGAGGACAGCGCTGGAGTGAGAGAAGCCACGCTTAGATCACGACCTTTAAGCTGTGTAAGAAAAAAATGTGGTCTCACTCACAGGTGCGGGTGGAGATCCTGGCAGATGGATTATGCATAATCTTGAGTTTGGAAATGAGCAATTTGGGGAGGTCATAGAGAAGAGAGTTGAGTTATAATGTGTTGAAAGCATTCATAAGGTTCTCAGTGTCAGTTGGGTTAATGAAATGAAAGAAGTGCAAGTTGTTGCACAGATGGGCGTCCGAGGTCCTGTTGATATGTTGACACGTGGAGGAAAATAAACGACAACTCAGGATCAATGATAACACCAATGTTGTCAGAATTTAAGAGGCTTAGGCTCAAATTGGAGTCTTTCCCGAGAATGGACTTTGTTCCAATGAGAAGTGCTTCAGTTTTGGCAACATCTAGCTGAAGGAAGTTAAGAGGAAACAAAGACCATATTGCATCAAGGCAGAATGTGCGAGAGGACAGTGAGGTTGAATCCATGTAGTCAGCCGTGATGTAGAGCTGCCTGGGTGTCAGTGGCATATAAATTATTATTAACAATAAGACTGGAGATGTTGCCAATAGGGAGTAGATTCATTGAGAAGGGCAGGGGCAGAGGATGGAATGATGTGGGGGTTTTGAGAGGAAGACAGTGATTGTATGGGAAACAGAAGGAGCAGGTTTGATAAGTAGGTGTGGAACGAGAATATGTATGTATGTTGAACTTTTTTTGCGCCGTACATAGCCAACCGTGCCAATCGGAGGATATAAGTATGCTGGAGAGTATAAGTCTGGTTTGGACCTTGCCAGAACTGACTTATCTGATCTTATGTCAGTCTTCCAAAGTGGATTTCAAGTGCAAATGCATTGCATTGTCTCTCAATTCTACAACCAAATAATGTTTTGCTCATTCCAGGGGATGGGGAGATTCTAGAAGAGGTTCCACTCTTCAGGGAAGCGAGATTTTTCAGAGTTGGGGGAGGGGGTGGTGCAGTGAGAACTACAGTGGTAGTGAGATTGCGAGGCCCCATTTTTTGGCACACTTTGATATATTTAATTTGAATGTGGTACGGTCATTGCTACAAATGTTTGTTAATTCAGCAGTGCTAATGTTGAGCATTCACACATGTCACTGCATTTTTGTTTAATTGGCTAAATATGCTTTGGCAATATGCGTGATTATGTCCATGCAGTTCAATGAGACTAGTTGAACACTGGAGCCGAAATGTTAACATCAAATAGATACTGTATCTAATGGCACAAAAAGCATGCAACTTTCACACAAAAAAAGTGTGAAAATAGGCACAGTATTACTATATTAACGGACTTGTGAAATCTGCTCTAAAATTAATATAATTAGCAGTACACAAGTCCATTTGGGTGGTTCAAGTTTGTACACTGTTTAAAGCAAGTGAACACATGACACAAATACCAATATCTTGATTTTTTTTTATTTTTTGGCGTGATATAGCGGTTCGTATGACCATCATGACAGATCATGCGCAGCACTGTTCACTTGGCACGTGTCGCAGTGTGACACGTGGCAATTGTGCGGTTTCCAGCCAGCCACCACCAGAAGGCAGACACGTACGTTACGACATCAAAACAAATTAAGGTTTTCTTGATAAAACAAAACCGTATTTAAAATAAAGCCGCATTTAAATATATATCACTGAAATCATGTTCTGTGAAGCTGACAAATGAATTTCAGTCAACAAGCTACGGTCTGGGTGCTCTTTATCAAGACAAGCCAGAACCAGATGTAAATGGTTGGGAATTTTCAAAAGGCAAGCACCCCTCTTACATTGGCAGAGTATAACACTTGAGATGTATAACCTCCCAGAGA